CCTTATATTCCATTCTGAAGATTCTTGGGTGTCTGTGCGCCATCCGAGGTAAAGTTATTTCCCGAACTCTCCTTTCCATTATTACAATGTCCAAAAAGATCTGAACAACGTTGGGATGTTTTCCACATGTGGCAACAAGCGTGCCTCTGAAGGAGCAGTTACTTGACAGTCAGCCCGATAATTAGTAAAAGGGCGCTTTGGCTCGCCTGGAAGACAGGAACGCACTGCCCTTGTGTGCAGACTGGGCGCGTTTAAGGCTTTACTTTCTTGCGTATTAAAAAGAAGCAAGAGAAGCGTTGTTTTCACCACTATCGCTCAGCAAGTGTAGATAAATATTCACAGCTGCGTGGCCTAACTCGGAATCAAATCTATCGATAGTCCCCGCAATGAAACAACCGTCACGTAATAGAGGTGGGCGGCATTGTCCCTCGAGTTTTTTGTTCATGGACTCGGGGAGTTTGATTGACTTACAGCGCGTTTACTGTTTACGTGTATTTCGTTCCGTACCTCACCTTTAATATGTAAATGCTTAATGAGCCAAGGGCATCTAGAACTGTGACAAGGAGAACACTGACAGAACGACTTTAGGAGGAAGACCGCCGCCTTTGCAAAAATGAAGGATATGTTTCTATAATAACAAAATTGTGTTACAACGCTTTAATTTGCTATTGCACGTCTTTACCTATACGTTGGGAGCTTTATCGCTGGAAATATTGTTTTATTTTGCGGTTTAAGGCGTCTAAACATGCGATAGTGATGTGTCATGCTTCACAACAGACTCCAAACAATAGGGTTTCAAACGGAAGCTTTATTTTCAGGTTTTCTTCACTTCAAGTCATTGTCCAGCGGGTAAAATCACGCTTGCAGAGCCGACAGTACGCTCGTTCTTAGCAAGTAGTTTTGTGACTCGAAGCAAATAGTATTTCTGACAAATGTGTTATCAGGAGATGACAGCTACATAACACTCTGCATAAGCATGCTCAAAACCATTATGTCATGAACGTCAGGGATGAACAGTGCTTAAATTGCAGATGGTTTGGTGAGTTAACATATGCACTTGTCACGGAAGCTGCTTAACAAAGCGAAGCGCCACAAAGCTGCGCTACAGGCACTGGTGGTACCGTTCCACAAAAGTACTGTTTCGTGAAGAAACTTGTCGTGGCTATAACTTAACAGGTCTGCGACTGTCTTGGGCAGGTGGAACTATCACCATCTTATCACAATCAAGTCGTTATTTCAATGTTACCGCACACAATCAACTGCGTTCAGAGAAAAGGGTACTTCTCTTCAGGAAGAGCAACCAGCTTGCCCCTAACGTAGTGTTTGCACACAAGGCGGGGACAGCAGTCTGGAAATGCCTTCCTGCGGTCTCCCACGGCCTCTCTGCAGAAACAGATTGTCCGCCTTCAGCTTCTGGAAAGTCCACCCGCCTGCCCACCTGGGGGCACCTGCAAAAAGAAGAAAATTATGTGTCATTTCCCACAGCTGCCTCTCTGAGACCAAAATCCTAGTCGCTCAGAGCATCAAGTCCACTCCCAGGGCCCGATTTTGCTTTTGGAGTATGCTTGAAATGTAAACTGATACCTAAACACTAAACTCTGCAAGCCTTCTAACGCTTGCTACACAGCTCGAACAAACACTATTGAGATGGACTGTCTCGTCGTAGTCGATGTGCTTGAGGGTGCTCACCGGAAGCGGTCGATGTAGAGAGTACCGTTCTCCTTGATGCAGTGGCTCTGCTTGCAGCCCGAGTTACGGCTGCTCCACACAGCACCCACGGGGAAATCTCTTGCCGATCTGGTAGTCTTGGCACTTATCACCTGAAAGCAGACCAGTGCCACAGTCAGACCATGTCACCGGTCGCCTCGCCACCCCCACCTTGACGCGTAACGTAAACCAACAGATCGTCGCACAAGATCGCTGCGTAACAGCGGCCGATCGTAAGCAATCTCGTGCCTCTTGTGCAGTCCCGTGATTTTTAGCCAAAGTCTCGTGCGGCCAATAGCGGTGGCGCATGCACGCCCTGCGTTTCAAACTGACCGGCATTGAAGCGTTACTGTATCCCGGTAGGAGTCCGTTACAAAAACTGAACCATCACGCAAACATTGCGGAACAGCAAAGCGAAGAATATCATGCCGCCGATAGCTGATCATACCTTGGTGATACTATTCTGCTATAGTTACATGATTACGAAGCAGACGACAAATTGCTGAGATGTCTTGAACTGTTGACGTGTGCTTTAATGGGGCCCGATTTATAACTTCCCTATGCAAATGGCAGCTGACGCTGCATCCGAACGCTGCAGCACTCACCTTTTCCAACGGGGAACTTGACGAACCTCGGGTACTGTTGAGCCAAGCAGAGCTGCGCCCCGAGAACCAGCAGAACTGCGAACTTGATCATGTTGGCCGACGTTGTGGTCTGTGGTGCTGTGCTGCTATGGCCGCTGTGCGCCGTTGCTCGGGCCGTCTGTACCTCTCTCGCCGCTGGCACGCCGGTTATATAGCGGCGGCGGAGGGCGTGCGGGCGCGCGTGCGGCGTGCGCCCACTCCACCGCCGGGGGCGTTGTTCAGACAGGGAATCTCCTCGCCGCCCGCCCGGTCTTGGCCACGGTGAGACTCTCTGGCGCCACGACTCGGCGCCCCGGTGGTGCTCCCCGTCCTGCCCGGCGCCAGCGAGGGGACCCTTCACGACTGCCGTTGGCTGCTGAAGACTGTCTGCTGATCGTCAATTTGCTCATCTTGTGTCACACCAGAAATCGAAGAATATTCCTCTTACTGGGTGGAGGTATTTGTGCTAATCTTTATTAGCGATCATGCAACATCAACCGGTTGAGCTCTGGCGAAATTCTATTGAAATCTTTTCCACATCTCTGTAACGTACGTTGGCTGCAAGCAGGCAGTAGATGATTGAGCTTACTTATCCTGCACAGATCACCATGTTTAGGAACATAGGGGCGCAGGAGAACATTGTGGTTTTCTCGATCTCGGCATATCTTCTCGTGGCGCCGTAAATGTCCTGGCGATTTCAGCACGTCTATTTGTGGCACCATGAATGTCCCGACGATCCCGGTATATCTGCCTGCGGCGCCGTAAACGCTCCGACGCCCTTTCATGAGACCGGAATCACTAAGACGTATATTGTCACTAACCATTGCTACCCAAGCTTGCATGATCCCGATACACACCGTCAAGTGAACTTTTGCTAGGGTCCTGCTTTTTGGGTTCAACAATTCGCAAACATTGGAGATAAGAACTTTAGCAGGCAGTCATCTGCTTCCTTTTCCCTTGAAAACCGACTGCTTTGTAGATGCAGATGACATGAGACCTTGTTCTCCAGCGGAGATCTCCTTCAGACGTGCGGCTTCTTCAGGAGACGACCTGGCTGGAGGTCGGCACTCCCGGAGACAGACACTTGAAGAGAACTCATGGAGAAGTGCTTGCGATATCCGCCCTCTGCGCGAATTGCTATTTCAGTTGAGTTTTGAAATCAACTGCATAGGAGTCATGCCACGACCTGACATACCTTAGGTGACGCCACGGTGAATGGGGCCTCTTAATCATTACTGGCATCCTAAAGCACTGCTCAGGCTCCTTCAGATCTATGGCTGGCCTTGTCAACACAAAACAAAGCGGAAAGACAGTTCTTACAAAGCTGGTCTGAAAATTTGCAATCTTAAAGAGTGAAAGCAATAGATACATGAGCAACAATTGCAGCTTGACATCAACGGCTTCACGCTACGGCTCTGTGAACGCGCTGAAATTGAAGAGCCAACATGATGCTGCCCACACCTACCGCAAAGCGGCAAAACCTCAAGAACATTGCCGTCATGCTGAGTATATTCGATAGATCACACCTCTCGAAACGGAATTAACATACTTCTGACACGTTTTGAAATCAAGAGACTAAGCAGACTCGTGCCAACACGCTGACAGCATCCTTTTTCATCCTGAGATTCTTGGGTGTCTGTACGCCATCCGGGGTGCGTCCAAAAAGATCTGAACAACAATGGAATGCCGTCCTCATATGACGCCAAACGCACCTTTAAAGGAGCATTCCCTGGATAATCAGCGCGATCTGTAGGAACATGGCTCTTCGGCTTGCCTGAGTGGCGCCATGCGAGAAAGATAGGACCGCGCTGTACTAGCGCGCAGACTGAACGTATTTCAAGTTGTCCTTTCTTACGCCTTCAAAAGCAGCAACAGAAATGTAATATTTGTCCATAGGAGTGCTCTTTCGCTCAGCAAGTGGTGTACATTTACAAATCTCCGCGGCCTAACTCGGAATAAAATTTTCGATAGTCCCTGCAACGAATCAATTGTTGCGTAAATACAAGTGAACGGCATGGTGGCTTGAGGTTTTTCATCGATTCAGAAATTTGCTTGAGTTACAGTGTGTTTACTGTTACGTGTATTTTGTCTCGTGTCTCGATTTTGATATGTAAATTCTTGGTGAGCCAAGATCATCTAGAAACGTGACGAGGAGGAAACTGACAGAACGGCTTTTAAAAGAAGACTGGCGCCATTGCAACAAGGAAGGATGTGTTTCTATGTTAACAAAGTTTTGTTGGAAAGCTATAATTTGCTGGTGTGCGTTTTTACCTATACGTGTGGAGCTTTTATTGCTGGAAATATTGCTTCATTTTGCTGTTCGTTCATCGTAGCATGTAAACATACCATGGTAGTGTTTCATGGTTGACAGTAGGCTCCAAACAGTAGGCTTCCAACCGAAACTTTATTTTCAGATGTTCTTCACTTCAAGTCATTTTCCAGCGGGTAAAATTACGCATGCAGAGCCGACAGTGCGCTCGTTCTTAGCAACTAGTTTTCTGACTCGAAAGCAAATCTCACTTCCGACAGAGGTGTAATTAGGAGCTGACAGCCACATAACTCTGCATAGACATGCTTAAACCATTATGTCATGGATGTCTGGGGAACACTTGCTTAAATTGCAGGTGGTTTGATGAGTTAACATATGCACTTAACACAGAAACCTCTTCACGAAACAAAGCGCCACAAAGCTACGCTACAGGCACTGGTGGTACCATTCCACAAAACTACTGTTTCGTGAAAAAAAACTACTGATAACTATAACGTATCAGGTTTGCGACTGTCTCCGGCAGCTAGAACTATCACCATCGTATCACAATCAAGTCGTTATTTCAATGTTACCGCACGCCATCAACTGCGCTCAGAGAAAAGGGTACTTGTCCTCAGGGAGAGCGACCAGCTTGCCCTTAACGTAGTGTTTACACACAAGGCGGGGACAGCAGTCCGGAAATGCCTTCCTGCGGTCTCCCACGGCCTCTCTGCAGAACAGGTTGTCCGCCTTCAGCTTCTGGAAGTCCACCCGCTTCCGCACCTGGGGGCACCTGCAGAAAGAAAAAACTATGTGTTATTTCCCACAGTTGCCTCTCAAAGACCAAAATCCTCGTCGCTCAGAGCATCAGGCCACTCCCAGGGCCGATTTCGCTTCTGGAGTATGCTTGAAATGTAAACTGATACCTAAACACAAGGCATGCTCTGCAAGCCTTCTTCCACTTGTTATACAGCTTGAACAAACACTATTGAGATGGACTGTCTCGTCGTAGCCGATGTGCTTGAGGGCGCTTACTGGAAGCGGTCGATGTAGAGAGTACCGTTCTCCTTGATGCAGTGGCTCTGCTTGCAGCCCGAGTTACGGCTGCTCCACACAGCACCCACGGGGAATCTCTTGCCGATCTGGTGGTCCTCGCACTCATCACCTGCAAGCAGACCAGTGCCACAGTCAGACCACTGTCACCGGTCGCAACGCCACCCCCCACCTCGACACGTGATGTAAACCAACATATCGTGGCACAAGATCGCTGCGTAACAGCGGCCGACCGTATGGAATCTCGTGTCTCTTGTGGAGTCCCGTGATTTATAGCCAAAGTCTCGTGCGGCCGATAGCGGTGGCCCTGTCATGCCCTGCGTCCCAAACTGCCAGGCATTAATGCGTGGCTGTGTCTCGGTGGAGTGGCTGTACATGATTACGAAGCAGGCGACGAATTGCTGAGATTACAAAAGCGAACCATCACGCAAAGAAACATTGCAGAACAGCAAAGCGAAGAATTTTAAACTGTCGATAGCAGATCATACCTTGGTGATACTATTCTGCTATAGTTACATGATTGCTAAGCAGACGACAAATTGCTGAGATGTCTTGAACTGATGGCGAGTGCTTTAGCGGCGCCCGATTTGTAACTTCCTTATGCAAATAGCAGCTGACGGAGTCATCCGAACGCTGCAGCACTCACCTTTTCCAACGGGGAACTTAAAGTACCTCGGGTACTGTTGAGCCAAGCAGAGTTGCGCCCCGAGAACCAGCAGAACTGCGAACTTGATCATGTTGGCCGACGTTGCGGTCGGTGGTGCTGCGCTGCTCTAGCCGCTGTGCGCCGTTGCTCGGGCCGTCTGTACCTCTCTCCACCGCTGGCACGCCAGTTATATAGCGACGGCGGAGGGTGGGCGGGCGCGCCTGGGGTGTGCACCCACTCCACCGCCGGGGGCGGTGTTCAGACAGGGAATCCCCGCGCCGCCCGGCCGGTCCTATATGGCGCCACGGCTCGCGCGGTCCGGCGGTGCTCCCCGTCCTGTCTGGCGCCAGCGAGGGGCCCAGCGAGGGGAGGAGGTCAACACTCTCGGCGAAAGATACTTGAAGAAAACTCATGGAGAAATGCTTAGGACATCCGCCCTTTGCGTGAATTGTTATTTCATCTGAGTTATGGAATCAATTGCATAGGAGTCTGGCCACGACCTGACATACCACGGGTGACGTCACGGTGAATGGGGCCTCTTTATCATTGCTGGCACCCTAAAGCAGTGCTCAGGCTCTTATAGATATGTGGCCGGTCTCATGGACACAAACAAAGCGGAAAAAACAGTTCTTACAACAGAATTGGCTGAAAATATGCAAAATTCCCCCCCCCCAACTTAAGATGCCAAACAAACATGAACAACAATTGCAGTTGAAATCAACGAAGCCCGTTAAGTCTCTTTAAAAGTGCTGAACGTGAAAAGTCAGCATGATGCCGCCTAGGGCTATCGAAAGGCAACAAGACCTGAAGTACATTACCGTCTTCCTGATAGTACTCAACATATCACACCACTCGAAAGAGATTTTACACGCTCCTGACACATTTTGAGAATTAATGAGCTCAGCAGACCAGTACTAACACTACGCCATTATTCTTTTTCATTCTGAAAATCCTGTGTTGTCCGTGCGCCATCGGATATGCAGCTGATTCCGTAACTCACATTTTTCCATTAAGATTTGAACAACATTAGGATGTTTTCCACATGTGGCGACAAACGTAGCTTCCAGAGAGCAGTCACTGGACAATCAGCACGATATGTAGACAAATGGTGCCTCGGCTCACCTGAATGGCGCCGTATGAGAAAGATAGGAACGCGCTGTCATAGCGCGTAAACAGAATGCGTTTCTTTGGCAAGAATAGCCAAAGCAATTTCCAGCCTACTCTCACCATACAGCAAATCCAGCCGTCACGCTCTAATGTGCTCACGATCTCTTCTTTCACTTGTCGAAAGGTGCGTGACTGTCGGGGCGTTCTGTTTTCATTCGAAACCTAAAACTGAAAAAAATTGTGAGAGCTAATCCAGCGTTGTGTAATTCTTGACAGTCTTAACTAAGACTTCGAATTCAAAAATGTCTGATGTTGTGCAACAAGAACACTGAAGCCTATTTGTGCATCGAAATATTCCGGAGTACGAGTTCCTTCGAACATCTGCTGACAACGAAGTTTTATCCAGAGCCAAAAAGGGCATTTGATTGTAATGTTGGCACAAATGCATTCGGGAGACTACCGCACCAAAATCCAGGGCCAGTGGCGCAGAATGTCCTGTTCATCCCCTGAACCAGACGAAAGCGCCGAAGAAAAGAGGTGGGCATTTAAGTGGCCCTTTTGAGCAAGACACTTTGACGAGGGTTGCTGTCAGTGAAAACAGTGGTTCAAACGTTATGCAGATTACCAGGGTTTAGTCCTTGTGCGGCGCCAAAACCGGTACCAAATCGAAGTGGAATTTTGCCAAACCTCATTTTTCCTCTTACAGTACCAAAAAGTCCACTCAAGCGCCAAAAATACACTTCCGGAGCCAATGGCACTCCTACCTTTGTTTTACGAATTTCACGCGATTCGACAGATCAACAGAAACGTTTCAGTATCAAGTTTGAGGAGATTTAAAAGGCGGAATGGTTGAGTTATCAGCACCTTTGGCACAAATGTACAAGCCCCGGTTGAATCTCGTTTGTATCATGATCTTTGAGCACCATTTTGGCTGCTGCATTCGCTGGCGCTCTATGAAAAGGCGGAAGATGCCGTACTTCGCGTTCGTGAAACGCGATACAACAGATGAAAGAGGCGATACAAAATATGTTTATTAAATCTCCTCCCCGACGCAGCCTTGCACGTCGAGCGTGCAGGGTACAAACTCTTCAGCGCGCGCCGCTATCGGAAATGATAATGCAGAGGTGTTTGCATTCAGGTGGCAGAAAACACTCGAAAGGCCAGCTAAGTCATATGCCGTTTATCACGTCATATTCATTTCACCAACGTTGTTTGTTTCATTCTTAAGAAGCGATCCTATTTATCGTATGTGGCTAAAGAGCATCGATTTATTCTGGATGAGCTTAAAATTATTTGTTACCCCCGCAAGGGCACAGTGCCCTTCCACCCCCACCCCCTCCTCTTCTCTACCACGCGGCTGCAGGGCACCATTAAGCATCCATGACGAAGATAAAATTCAGCGCCACTTGATGATCCACTTCAAAACTAGTTGTGAGCGTAGCAGTTGATGCTTCCGCCATCACGTGCCTTTGCACAACAATTATAGGTTGCATGTGCGAGACGCTCACTTTGTGGGGTCACACTATCCTTGCCAATGTCGCGATGTTGCTAATGACAATTTGGCGGGTTCGTTAGGTTTGTCATTTGTCAATTTTAGTCGTCCTGCCGATGCGATCTCGTCATGGTGCTGTGATATGTATTGTATTTTGCGTCTCTTATTATAATGTGATCCCTAAGGTGCAGTCAAACGATCTTATTCGCATTTGTGAGCAAATATAACACAGCTGCTTTTACCTTTGCTAGTGAGAACGCGTTTTCCTTACGCCAACGAAATTGCGGTGTGTGTGCTTTACTGGCACTTGACTAACTCTTGGCGTGTGGACACCTCAGGTAGGTGCTCCTCCAAGCATACCTTATATGAGTGTTTTCAGCAACAGCTCAGCGGCGTCATTTCACATAGGATCACAGCCGTTTTGCAGGTTTCATATACGCTTTGAGTATGTGTAAAAGTGACCGAGGTGTAGCACTCGAGAAAGCATCGTCTGAGCTACAACAATGTAGCGAAGGTCTTTTTTAAGCGTTGCCTAGGGGACTATCGCATTTTTGGAGTGTTTGTATTGCGAAGGTGTTGAGGAATACAAGCAAGGAATATTCGATGTAGGTGTGCTTCAACGCCCGCACCGAGGCGTAATGTTACGCTGGATCAGCCACACCGGTAGTGTGGGCCTTAAGGGGAGTGTGTCTAGTCAAATAAGGATTTTTTTTACGGTTCACCTAAGATGGCATGAAATTTCTATTTACAAATTAAAAAAACTCGGAATTTCGATTTGCAATGTACAAACTTGTTAAGCCACGGAGAAAAATGACAAAGCCTTGCACCTGTGCAAGGGATCAGGATATGGTCCAATACACAAGGCTGGACTTGAATGTCACCAATCGCTGCTGAAGCTCTTTACGCATAAGACGAGCGTCTTCTGTTTTAAACACATAGCTGGAAACATTGTTTTATTTTGCTATTTTGTAGCGTCTCAACATACGATAACATTGCTTCAAGTTCAACAGTAGGCTTCCTGCAGCAGGATTTCGTACCGCCACTAGGTCTTCAGTTTTTCATCACGTCATGTCGTTGCTACGCTGGGGAACTATGCATGCAGAATCGACAGTGAGCTCGTGTGAGCAGCAGCAGAATCGACAGTGAGCTCATTCACTGACTTCGAGTCCCAGAACTACGTTCCAAGAAGTTTCGGACTCGGAGTAAATTGCAGTCACGTCTAACAGACAGCTACATACACACTCGAAATATGCATACTTAAACCACTGTCAGGGATGTCCGTAAGAGACCTTGTCTTAAATCCCAGGTGGTTGCGTAAGCTAGCATGCGCTGTTAATAAACAACGGAAGCTGTTTCCAACACGACGCAAAAATGAAGCGCCACCGGGCTCCAGTGCTACTATTCCACAAAAATACTGTTTCGCGGAAACCAATTGATGATAATAACTTAACAAGTCTGCAACTGTCTTCGGCAGGTAGAAATATCACATTCGTATCACAAACAAGCCTTCATTTCATGTTTACCATGCGTTTTCCGCAAGCAATGGACTGCATTCAGAGCAAAGGATACTCGTCCTCAGGGAGAGCGACCAGCTTGCCCTTAACGTAGCGTTTACACACAAGGCGGGGACAGCAGTCCGGAAACGCCTTCCTGCGGTCTACCCAGGCCAGCCTGCAGAACAGATTGTCCGCCTTCAGCTTCTTGTAATCCACCCGCTTCCTGACCGACGGGCACCTGCAAAAAGAAGAAAATCATCTGTTATTTCCCATAGTGGTATCCACTTCTCAAAGACCAAAAAAATCGGTCTTCAGAACACTGAACCATTCCCAGGGCCAATTTTACCCTTGGATCATGTTAAAACATGAACTGATATCTATATGCCAGACATGCTCTGCAAGCCTTCTAACGCTTGTTACACAGCTCGAACAAACACTATTGAGATGGACTGCCTCGTCGTAGCCGATGTGCTTGAGGGTGCTTACTGGAAGCGGTCGATGTAAAGAGTACCGTTCTCCTTGATGCAGTGGCTCTGCTTGCAGCCCGAGTTAGGGCTGGTCCACACAGCACCCACGGGGAATCTCTTGCCGATCTGGTGGTCCTCGCACTCATCACCTGCAAGCAGACCAGTGCCACAGTCAGACCACGGCACCGGTCGCCTCGCCAACCCCACCTCGGCACGTGATGCAAACCGATGGCACTGCGACGCCCTGCGTCCCAAACTGCCAGGCATTGAAGCGTTACTGTATCTCGGTAGGAGTCCGTCACAAAAGCTGAACCATCACGCAAAGAAACATTGCAGAACAGCAAAGCGAAGAATATCAAACTGCCGATAGCAGATCATACCTTGGTGGTACTATTCTGCTATAGTTACATGATTGCTAAGCAGACGACAAATTGCTGAGATGTCTTGAACTGTTGG